GGCCTTATATGGCGAGAGTATCCAGGCAGTTCATAGAGAAGGAATTGATACCTCTGACTGGCCCCCATGCTCACCTGACCTAAATCCAAAAGAACACCTCTGGGACATCAGGTTTCAGTCCATGTTTTGCTTTCTGCCACGTGTCCATTTCTCTTTAGAAGGAAGCAGGTTTCCTGGATCACAAAGGAAGCGATTACGTTGTTCTTTGAGAGACGCCTGTCCAACATTGTCATGGACTTATGGCTCAGGTAAAATAAATAACTCAATACAATAATAATAACTTGATGTGTAGAAAAGAAAAGCCTAACAGAATAAAAATATCTGAACACAAACCACAAGAAACACTTGCTGCTGTGTGTTTGCAGCTCTTGTGTTCTGTGCACCACTCTTTGTCGTCTTATTAGCATTAACACACAACCCTGCAAACATGAACAGTGACCAGAGGTCATTAATTGCCTCAACAGTCTAAGTCACGGTGGCAAATTGGCAGCCGCACTCAACGTCACCTTCAGACAAGCAGACAAGAAAACACTGGAGTTCAGATGATAACATAACAGTAACAATGAAGGACCAACAAAACATAAATGCAATAACTGTCATAGCATCTTAAATTAACAGATTAACATCAACATGAACAGTCCCATGAGTCTTTGCATTAGTGACCCCTCACCCCTCAAGGACCCCTCAAGGCTGCTACAAGATAATAAATAAATAAATTTTGATATTAAATGGTATTAATGTCATTCCAGATATGCTGTTGGAATGATCATAAGCATTGTTTATGCACAAATGCGCACATGTATACAAACTATGAATGAAGCTCACTATCTTCAGTTGCGTTCATGCACAGTGAGAGGTGGAGGCATGCATTCTCACGCCTGTTATACGGTTCTGCACTCATGTCCATTTGCATGTCTATTTGCCTACGCAGAGCCCACGCAGAGGGGTATGAAACCTAAGTAGGTGCGCTTGCGTGCAGGCCTCCAAAGACCCAACAGATCAGTATCAACATGGATGACATTGTGTGTAGATCAAACGCTGATTGAAAAGTGAGCCAGAACAGGAAGGGCTCATCAAAAACAGCAGAGATAGTGGCTCCAATAGATAGTTTTCACTTTTTTTGTACAATCCTATCTGAACCACAGTTATATTTGCCTTGTTTCATTGTTTCTTGCACTTTCATAATTAAAACTTAGCACTGAGGTTTCCCTCAGAAGGGTTGAGCTTCATATTAAATGATTCAATAGCTGTTACTTTGCCACAGCGCTACAGTTTAAATCAGCAATAAATGAACTTCTAGAGTTTCTTATTTAATATCCTGTTAAAACTAATGGATATGGACAGTACAGTGTATATATTTGTTAGTGTATGTGGGTTGGTTTTTTTTTTAATTCAGTATATAAAATCCTAAAAATTTCAGGCAGCCTAGATTAAAATGTAATTGTGCTTTCATTATGGGTTAGTAGAGCACATGCATGTGCTTTTATGGGCCAACATGCAGAGACATATTTTTTACGTTATTTAGTCATTTGGGAGAAGATCGGTAAAACAATAACTGCCTCACAAGCTATGATATGCACCCTTGTAATTATCTGGACAGGATGCTGCATCATCTGGGATAACGCAGACGAGGGAACAAAAGAAGCCGATTGACAGATGATCCTGCTGCGCCTCCGTCATCAGAAACTGACGTTTCTTCGGATGACGCCCGAGAGGGAGAGACGTCTATGCCGGGGACCGTTTCTTTGCATTATGCCCCCGTTTCAAGTAGGAGGGACTGAAACAAAAAGGAAAAATGCACAGGGTGCAGATGGATATGAGAGGGTTGGTGTGTAGCCATCAAGGATTTACAGGATTTACCACCTCAAAAATAAGAAAAGCCTGTTAAAATAAGTTTGACAGCTTGTCTCTCCACTGCACAGGTCACTCAGGCCTATCAGGCTATTCATTATGAATGCCTCGCCAACTATTTGCTGGCCTCTGCAGCTCCCTGTAGACTCGCTCTTTCTGTTTACCCTTTGAGCATCTTTGTCTTTCTGCTGGTTTTGTTAAATGATGAGTGTAAAATGTAGTGGCTTTTTGGACCTTTTTGCGCGTCCGGCTACAAACGATGCCAACAATGCACAATAGCGAGAGCCGCTGCCAATCTGACGCCAACGCTCACCAACTGGACTCCGGCATTTCCTGAACGTTCAGAAAAAAAGAAAACAGAAAACGGCTCCCGATAATGATTGGAGAGGAGCAGAAGAGGCATCAAACGGTTCAGCAACAAGGTTGTGGGTTGGGCAGTTGGATAATTGGCTAAAGCACCTAATGAAAGAACAGCTTGAAAATAAATCTAACAAAAGAAAAACCTTTGTGCAGGGTGAATGACAAACGGCAGGAAATGTCAAGCTGCTAGTTCTGGCTGGACTATAAGTATGTTCACTTGATGCTTTATGCTAGTTGAAATGTGTGAAAGTGAAACTCTCTGGATGTGATCAAATAAAAGTCCCTTGCATCTAAACGTACGCATAAGGATACAGCAGCTTGTCCGTTTCCAGTCTTATGAGCGAATCCAGTAATTATGCAGTTTGGTGCACTTGTTTAAAAGAGACAGCTATACTTGATAAACGAGCTACGTAGTTTATTCAGTGCACTCAGCTATTTGTAGCGCTCCACTGACAGCAATTACGGCTACGAGCATGTTTGAGGCTCCTTCTAGCAGCAGCAGCGCACACCTGGCTTTTGAAGCACTTGTGCTCGTTGCGTATTGTCTCCTGCTGTGACAGATTGGATTGGAAAGTGTTGGTAAATTGCGGTCTGTGTCTAAACTGATGTGCAGCTGGGTTCAGGTGCTTTGTGGCGATAGAAGACATTCAGAGGTGTATCACAAATCTCAGAAAGTGTATTTTGGGAGAAATTAACGTAATGCGCTCCCAAAAAAAGAGTGACTAACTTTAATGCTGATGATTGAATTTTGAACAGATCACAGCAAGTACATCTAAACGTTTTAACTGCCCTCTTCAACTCTTTCCTGTACTCTCCCTGTGAGAGGTGCTGAAACGAGTATAAAGAGATGCAAAATGACCACAACAAGTATCTTTTTTTTAAAAATTGTGTTTTGTGTCTCCTTGTTAAAGCCATGGGTTTGGCTCTTATGTTGGAAAAGCTCCTAATCGGTCCAGGTTGGGTCCTACTCGAGTCTCAATGGTACCACCGACGAATGCACACTGACGTTTTTAGAAACACAGTGAGCTTTAGTTTCTGAAAACCAGGGAGCACCACAGCCCCCACATTAAATGACCTTCAATGAGGAATCCTCAAAAAGCTTTTATGCACGGGGGTAGTGAGAGTGGGCGTGCAGGCTGGTTGTTTTTGTTGCTTGAAAATGCAGGTAAACACTCAGTGTGAATAATTGTGAATCTTCAGAGTAGAAAAGGACGTGGCGTGGAGCTTTCTGGTGTGATCTGCTGTCATCATAGACTGTCACATCCGTGTAACGGCCTTTAATTATCGCGTTCAATTTCACTGTCGCAGTCATCATCATCATCATCATCTTCATCTGCCCTTTCCATTTATCCCCCACTCAAGACCTCATCTTCTGCTGTCTGCTGTCAGTCACGTTAACCTCAGCCAACGTCGGGATGGTTTTGTGTGCCATTTGAGTTGTTTCTAAATCAAATTCAAGGTCTCACTTAAATGTTTGTTTTCTCCTTCTTGAATATGTACAGTCTGTGGCTGAAATATCTATCAGTGGAAATATCAGCCTACTTTTTAAAATTAAATACTATTAAATTAAAAAAGAGTAAATAACTAACTTGGTGTGCAGTAAATGCTTTCGGTTGAGAGAGTTCCATGTAGCCTTTTACATATGGCACAGTCTCGTCCCTTAGCTTTACTCTGTTAAAGCTGGATCTTGTACAATCATCTACAAGGCTACATAATGTGACTATTTAGGAGTGAGGTTAATAATAACTAATGATTAAATGCAGAGTGGACAAACACATGCATAAACACTCAGTGCAACATCAGTGGGAAAAGATTTTTGAATCAGATGAAGAACGTGGGCTGTGGTCTTGTTCTGTGACCGAGTGAGGAAAACCCTGCCAGGTAACATCAAACAAGCCCAAGATTTGAGGTTTTGCAGACAGGAGACCGTGACATGATGTTAACTTGTCAGCTATTTTGAACGTACATGGTCGCGATGGAATGAGGCCTAGCAACCGCCTGTGGCTAGACTGTTTGCCTTCAAAGTTTTTGAACATGTTGTTTTCAGCTCCGAGACACAACATTTACTTCAAAGGTGAGCCGTCTCCATTTCTGCTTTCCATCGTGCTTTTTCAAGGTTTGCTACTCCTCAGCTAGTAGTTTGTTAGCAGTCTGCAAACACACAATCTGCTAGCAACCAAAGCAATCACCAGGAAGTTTCTTCTGCAGCAACATCTGATATCAGCTGATATCAACCAACATTAAGGAACCACTACCGACCAGTCGGGGAATACATGTTTCCCTAGCAACTGGTGGCTGTATCCTGTCCCATATGGTGGACATCTCACGAGCAATGTACTCATGATGTCAGAAAACCTCAGTATAAAAAGCAAATAAAAATTAAGTTAGAAAGCAAGCATCTACAGCAGTCTGAACTTCTAACAGAGATTATTCATGAATACCTCATTAAGTGAAACTTGCCCATTTTTTTAAAGTATCTAAAATGCAACGGTTTAGATATATAAGATAGAAAATAAGGAAATGCATTGCAAGTCCACTTCAAATAGGCTGAAGGTAGGAATGTGTGCATTCACCCAAGTTCTCAAGAGGTTAAAAACAGTTTCTGGTAGTTACTTGTAAACTGATTCTTCCAAATGTGCACTAAAGATACCTGCAGTTCAATAAAAATGTGTGTGTGTGTTGTTTGAGTTACACATCAATAAAATGTGGATAACAAAGACTTCCCTCCGCTTACAGAATCTGTGTGTCTGAATCATGATTAAGCAGTTGAGTCACTGTCTTTGTTGTAGATGAAATCAGTCTGGAGGGGATGGTGGTGCACCGAGCCGAATGCAGACCAGTCGTCACTGACAGCTACATGAAGCTGAAGAAGTGAGTGAACGCTGAAATTTCTCTTCCAAATGCTGCAGTTTGAAAGCTGTTAAATTCATCTTGCTTGAGATGATGTAATCCCCAAAACTTAAACGTTACAGTGGTTCTTATTGCAGTTGATTAGAATAATATACAGACGGAAAAGAGAGTTAGGAACTCTATCGAGGAGGTAGATGTATCATTGTCTCATTCTACAACCAAGAGATGCCTTCATGCATGGAAATACAGAGAGTTTGCAGCAAGGCACAACAAGCTGGTTACACTCAAGAAGTCCAAATTAGACTTTGCCAGAAAACATCTAAAAATGAAGTTCTGGGAAGAAAAAAAAAAAGATGAAGCCACGATTAATTTGTACTAGAATTAGGAAAGAGAAAAGTATGAAGAAAGATGGAAACAGGTCAAACCATGTCATCTGTCAAACATGCTGGCACGGGCATGTACATGGCTGCCAGCGGAACCGGATCACTGGTGTTTATTGATGACAGACCTATAATCTCTGCTCAGGTTCAGAGCAAATAAGTTGAAGGCATTAGATACAAAACTGAATGCAGAAAAAACAACAAACAAGCTGCAACTGAAGGTGGCTGCAGCAAATCCCTGGCAGAGCATCTCATCTCAGAACACAGCAACCGATTGGTGGTGTCCCTGGGTTCTAGACTTGATTGTACGAAAAACAATCCTCATGTTTAAAATTCTGTTAGTTTGCCTAATTACTTTTCAGTCCTTGATAATAGGAGGCTGTATAAAAATATAAAAACAGTCGCTGCAAGTTCAGGGAAGTCAGATACATTGTGGTCCATCAAACGCAGATATTTTAGAGGTGCACTGGTAACAAAGTATGACATTTGGAGAGCATCAAACACAAATGTACATCAAACACACAAAGCAGTAAGGGTTTTATTTGTTGTTTTGGAAGTGTGCTGTTGAATTTGCTTCTTTCACCCCTGAAAAGCACGAAATCTATTCAAGTGTTGTGAATTAATTCCAGCGTGAGTAGACAAGTTGGCAGCGTGTTGACAGGATCACGACTGCAACTGTTAATTTGTGTACACTAAACACTTGAGTCCACTCAGGCTGTTTTTTTGGGGGGGGGTTCAATTTTTTTATTTCCAAACTGGTTTCTGTCTCCTCTTCATTGTATTATGCTATTCCAGCCAGAGTTGGAGGATGGCATTGCTATAGCAACAGCATCACTGTGGCAGATGCACTGCTACAATCCAACCGAAGGCAAACACAAAACACAGCAGTGTGTGAGACGCTTCCTCTGTCGACCATCAAATCAGCGAGGCACATTAGAACTAACAAAAAGCACCTTGAAAGCTGAAGTGCAAAAAAGCAGTCTTACGTCCTCTGTCCCTAACATGGCCGGTGTGTGTTCGTAACAAAGCTGAGATCCTCCTTAAACATTACAGGATGGCAGTATTTATCTAACACAGAGCACGGAGCGAACTTAGATCTGTCTGATTTGTACTTCGACACAAACTTGAGAAGAAAAGTCTTCACTTTTGGATCCAGTTTTTTAATCTCCCAGTTGGACAGCAGCTGACAAATGGCCCTCCATCATTTCAGGCTACAGGATAATGAAGGACATTATGTTGTCATGGTGGCGTCTGTGTGTGTGGACACAATTCAAGAATAGTTTCGCTACATTTTCAAATGATTATATGAAGCTCTTTGCCACCTTTTCCGGTACATTAGTGAAAATATTCAATCGAATAAATGTATGCATTAGATCCAATTTGATCATTATTGGGTTTATTTATAAATGGGGAGGACAATCGGCTTCACTAATGGCAGCACTGAAGCAGGAGTGCTTGTGGCCAATATCAGTTATCACAGTGATTATGGCAGGACATCAGGGAGGCAGAGTGCTTTGCTGTTTGATTTGATGGTCGAACTTTAATAAAAAAAATTTGAGTCAAGATAAATGAAAGTCAAAAAAATAAATAAATAGAAAGCAGGATATCTTCAAGCAAAGCAGCTGCCATTACTTGTTTGCTTAGCTCAAGGTTATGACAGTTGTGTTTTGTGCCAACAGGCCAATCTGTCAGCTGAGATCACATTAGACGTTAGAGCACAGATGATAGAGGAAACTTTCTCTCTGTGTGTGTGTGTGTGTGTGTGTGTGTGTGTGTGTGTGTGTGTATGTGTGTGTGTGTGTGTGTGTAGACTGTTCCCATGG